GAGATCGAGTCGGTTTCGGGTCATAAATCTATAACTTCCATGTTTTTATAGATATACAGCTGATTTTTTTTTAGGTAATCTGAGATAAACGTACTTTAAAATAATATACAGTCTATGCATATAAAAATATATTTAATAATTGTAAAAAAATACAAAACATGAAATATTGAAAAATTATCATAAATTTACGACTAATTTTAAACAATGTGACCTAAATGTTATACTTAATGCAAAATAAACACATAAAATTACTCTTATTAATTAAATATAATAAGAAAAAGAAAATAACATAGAATTATATTTTTCTACTAGCTCTACAGCTTCATCTATAAGTTCCATAGACTTTTTATTGGAAGGTTTTCTTAAACTTGTTATGTAAGGGTCTGAAGTGTACAAAAGTGTATGTAAAACGTCTTCATTTGTAGCTACTCTAGAGCATTTTCTAGCATGATGAAGTCTGAATCGTTTATAGTCTTTGTTCCTTGATTCCTGGGCATCTTCGGAGAGCTGTCCAAGAGGTAACACTGAATAATGCCGAATTACACTTTCCCCATGAATTAGGACTTTTGACAGATGATGGCATATAATACCACATATATTTACTAACATATCGTTGTGCTGTATCGAAAGCATACTGTCCAAATTTCGTAGCATTAATTACTTTTCCGCTAGACATAACTTGAAGTAAAACATAAAATCGTTTTATCAATTCCTCATCCACACCGGTAATTGCTGCAGTGCACTGATAATTTTGAAAAAATCGTCTAGCTGTATTACCGTCATTACTGTTACCAGAACCTTGCTTAGGTTTATCTATATTTAAACCAAGTTCTTCTCTGAACCTTCTTTGTACATATGTTTTCTTTTGTTTTTTCAAATCTTTATTTTCTGTCGTTGTAGCAGACCATTGTTCAAAGCCTACATTATAAGATATATGTAAAATTAGTTCCATGAATCTAATCCAGCAATGTAAAGTCGAAAGCCCATATTGATAAGAATTTTCGTCAACAGGTTTATTTTGTACTTTTTCTAAATTGTTCATCTCTATAGGTCTTGCACCACAAATAGTACATACAGCACCTGATGAAGTTCCTGACAAAACTTGAGCCACTTTCCCGTCAACCATTGTCAAAAATAATGTGTGTTTGATTCAATACTTTCACCATTTTTATTGATTAAGCTTGTTGTGAGAGCGTTTTTTTGAGCTATAATTTCATTAACTACACTTGTAGTTTTCTCTGGTGTCTCTTTTGAAAATTCTATAAAAATGGGCCTACAAAATCTTACTGATGATGGAACAGGGTTTTCCCACAAAGTTTCATTTGTATTAATATCAACAAGTTTCAGAGGTACTAATGAAGATATAAATAAATTTGTGTCAAAAATTAACTCATCCTCTTCAGTTAAGACTTGCTTGTATTCACTTTGTCCACTTGAGCCATCACAGCCCCATTTCGAATACAGCATTAAATGTTTTTTGCCAGCTTTGTATACACCATTGATTTTCAAAATTCTTCCAATAGTGTGATCCAGCAGATCTTGCAGTTTTATTTTTGCTGTAATATTATTAATTTCTATGCTTGATCTTGGTGGGTAGCACATTCCTTTAGCTTCCTGAATTGATTTATATGACGGAAATAATACGCAGTTCTTCGCAATTAAGCAAATTTCTCATGTTTTCATACTGTGCCATGTTAAGGTCCAACTCTATAAAAATACTGAGAGCTTCATCTTGAGAGTACTCTGTTAAATGTGCCGGTTCATTTAAAAGATTTTGACGTATTTCACTTTTTTTATCTACGGGTAATACTCGTAAAATTTCGACAATGAAGGCTTCTTCTGTTTCCCCTTGAGATCTCAATCCTTGAAGATATGAATTCAGTATAAAATCAAGGCCACATGTTTCAAGCAACTCTTTGTTTTTTCGTCTTTGTGTTCTATTGGAACTGTCTTCGTAGGTTTTAGAAGGGCGTCCTCGCTTCCCCGTCGATGTCGAAGGTTCAGATTCACAAGTAGCATCTTCCAGATTTACTGTGAATGTGGCATTCAACCACAGGCTATTCTGATTTAAAAAAATTTCTTTATTTCTGCCAGATTTAGTGGAGCGTTGACGAAAGTTCGTAATAAGATTTTTTGTACACTCGCGACAATTTTAGCGATATTTGCCTCAGAAAAGTTGATAAAATTATTCCGTATATAACTTGTTAAAGCAACAACATAATTCCCGTCACTTTCAATCAAAACAAGACATAGGTCGCGTCTGGTACATTGGAATTCACTCATTGCGAGAGAGTAGGTGGTTAGATACACTTTTAGTAACGACAATAAGGAACGAAAAACAGTATGTAATTATTCAGTATGCAGATGCTCTATTTTATATTCAATAACTGATTTGAAACGTATGCAAAGTATGGGAATAAAAACTATTTATCATTATGTGGTTACTCGGTTTCCTATGTGTTTTATTGATAATTTATTTTGTAGGCGAACTAAAAATGGTGAGAAATACTCGATACATTATCAAAACATAAACCGCAATTAATAATATATCACAAGTGTAACCTATATCAACTAATAAAACAAATAGATTCGCCCACGTATTTTTAAGAAATTATTACTATTTCATGTTATGATAGATAGCATTATGTTGTGCAATGAAGTTGCAACTTTTTTTTTCTTCCTGTATAAAAATATTAAATTTCCTATCAAATAACATCATTTACAGACCTTCGGCAAATTTCGGCAACTGTCAAAACTCTAATTGAAAGTTTCAGATACGCAAAAATGATATGTCATGAGATAAATATTTCTAGTAAATATATTTATAAATATATAGCATATTTGTGTATACCAAAAAAAAGTATATATTATAAGCTTTCTAAAATGGTATAATACTTGTATAATTTTCATTGCTAGCTTACTAGAAAATCATCCTGAAAAAAATACAAATTATGATGTTTTCGTGATAATTTTTCAACCATCGTATTTAGATGCTCTTTACTATAAAAAAGTACTAGTTACATATATAATTTATACATAATATAGTAGATCAACTTCTTAGCTATAGTTTGAGGTATAATACAAGTACCTGCGCCGATTTTTACAAAATGTATTTATGGCCAAGCTCTCTTAGGCACCTCCACATAGTGCGCCGGCTGCCGTTGCCTCCGCCATGTCTAGCTTGGTGGGTTCATTACCGTATACGGAATGGAAATAGTTTGCGAAGTCTTTTGTACATTCAGAATCAGGTAAAAAACTTTGGTAATCTTTTTGCGGTTCACTGTACCCTTTTGTGATCTAACATTATCCCAGAAAGACTTTGGATCTTTTGCTAAGTTACACTGAACCCAATTTTTGTATGCATCGTGCGCCAGAGTTATCATTTCCTTTACCTTAGCCCTGCATTTAGAAAAGGATGCGTACTTTTATGATGCCTTATTAGATTTGAACTCTTCATGGAGTTTTGCCTTCAATTTTATCGTTTTTATTATATCTACTGAGTACCACTCTGGATACCTATACCTACCGGTTTATTTACGAGGCCTCTTGCTAGGTACGCATTTATTAAATACGTTAATTAAAGGAGCATAAAAATAATTCACCGCGTCCTCTGGATTTCGCATAAAATACAATAACTTCCAATCAATGTCAGCTAGCAACGGATACAATACACTATATACAGTTTAAATAAAGTTCCATTGCTGCGAATCTTCGCATGAAGTACACTACGGCGCCGACGGGAGCGGCGAAGACAGCGCAACACGCCGCTGGTCAAACCGCACACTCACGGCGAGAGGCGGGTGATATTCTTATCACGCCATCTCATCAGTGCTCTCATGAGGCACTTGTGCCGGTGGATTCTTCCACCGGCACAAGTGCCTCATCCGCCCCCCGTACCTCACTACCGCCCGCTATGCTCTCCGATAACAACACTAAGTCCAGCTGCCTGTCCATACAATATGGCACCATATTCAACTGAAGGAGTTCACAGAGAGCTGCAAGATAATCAAAGTAATTAATTACATTTTCATTGGTAGAATACAAATTAAAATCACCTAAAATTATAATTATCTTATACCTAACAGACCATTGTTCAATAATCTATCTATATCTTCTTCTATACTTATAATAAATCTGTAGAGAGGTCAATTCTGTACATGAAATATATTTTAAAAATAACTATGAAGGGGTGATTAGTGATCGATACTGATGCCAAAAATGCAATCAGTAAAATTTTTGTCTGTCTGTCTGTGTGTATGTTCCTTATAGAAACAAAAACTACTCGACGGATTTTAACGAAACTTGGTACAATTATTCTTCATACTCCTGGGCAGGTTATAGTATACTTTTCATCACGCTACAGTCAATAGGAGCAGAGTAGTGAAGGGAAATGTTGGGAAAACGGGAGAAGTTACTCCATTTTTTTAGCTTCCGTTGCGTGTGCAGCCTTAATGGTTAAAGTTACATAGAAATCATGTATGACGGAAATATTCTACATAAAATTGATTAAAAAATATCCCGCAAAAGCACATAAAACTTTTATGGTTGACCCACAATTATACGTGTAACTCCTGATAGCTTAGCAGTTCGGAGCATTCTGATTATATTTGCTTACTCTTACGTTTATAATACTCTCACTCATCCCTAATTTAAAAAAGTTAACATTATTACCTATTCAATAAAAAAAGAATCATAGAAATCGGCATAGAAACACCAAACTTATACATGAAATAAGTCATCGCGCCGTCGCGCTGATACTGAATCATGCTATAAGGATTATTTTTGTGTAACGGTTGCCGCGCTCGACATGGGTCGCGGCGGCGGTAGGCATAAGAAGAATGCCATTGTGTATAATACAGGCCTAATAACAATAACTATAGTCTACACTTCAGCTCTACACCGAAGCGAAGCGAGGGCGGGCCACTAGTTCTGAATAAAATCATATAATCATTTTCTGTACTATCCGGGTGAATGTAAAGATCACAACATAAAAGAAGTATCAATTATTTATAAACACAGTTATCTAGGTTGACGACACTCGGTAGCTTCACTTTCCGCAGTTCCAACCGGTATGTGACCACGAGAAAAACGCCGCCTTGTTTTCTTCCGTCCGTTCGATCGCATCTTAAGATTTTATAATCGGGCGGAACAATTTCCGCACTGTGAATAGATTCGTTGAATCCCGTTCCTGTTATTGCAAATAGATCGGCGCACGAGGATTCTATATTATTACGAAATGTATTCAATTTAGTACAAAGGCATCTTACGTTTTGGTAAAACATATTTATGATGCTATACTTTTTCAATGGGGAAGTTTGTAACTCTCCGAAACCAAACCCACTCCGCAAATTTCACATTAACAGGCTAGACTTCCGGTTGACAGAGCTTGTCATAATATTTTTCGGACAAGGTGATAATAAATGATGAGTAGTTTCTTTGCGTCTTATGTCTTATCTTTTCAATTTTTATTATGATTTCCGAACCGCACATCATTTCCACATGAGATGACAACATTTTCACTGTAGTATCTGGTGTTAGACGCCATACGTGAAGATGTTTATTTCGCTCTTGAACTTTGATGTTTACCAACTCTGTATTTTTACCTTTTTCTACTTCCGTTGACTGGATTTTTTCACTAATAGAACTCATGTTATTTATCTTGCTTATTTCTCTTGCTGACGTAAATATACATTTATTTATATCAGACTCGTTCCCTGAAGTATTTTTATCCTGTTTCCTTGTTTCCTGCTTGTAATTTTTAGTGGAATTTTTAGCACTTCTCATATCGATTGCTTTCCATTCACTCAAATCGGCCCCAGATTTTCTTGAAACGCGCGTAGTCTCCAGTAACTGTTAGGCCATGCCCCTATTCGGTTAGCAAACAATGTTATGTTGAGACCCGGCTTAACAATACAACTTACTAACAAACAGTCAAATTAGAACCACATTTGGAATTGTTCGAGTTTGTGTTGTCACCCTCACCCGAAAGCATTTGTCATTAGGTAATTTCCAAAGGACATTTTGTCGACAAAATAAATATGAAGACGGTGAAATAGGGGATGACAGATGTTGGTATGGACAATTTACACAGACGAAGTCGCGGGCACGTACTAGTCATAAATAAATTGTATGATCTACACATAAGTTAGTTAATATTGCTGTCGTGTTGCGTTGGATATATATTGAAGGCAGAGAAACTTTATCCTATGATCCTGCCAACATAGTTTGAAATGATGGGATGAGAGTGTTTATTGAGATCGATGTTCGACTCAGTGGAGTCATTTCCAATTTCCGAAGTCGCGAATAATTCCTATAGACGATAATAGTATATATAGTAGCTATGTGGAGGGATATTTTTTTATATCCACCTTTATTAAGTTACAAAGGTTTACCTCCATCCATCTTTCTTGGGCAACTTTGTCTCAAAGCTACAATCGATCTAGTGAGGATCACTTGTGACATGCATACGGGACCTCAGACGATAATAATTAGATTTAGATATAAAAGATATACAATTGGTCAAAGTGCGAAGGGTATAGTCTAAATTATCTGACTCATATTTTCTTGATATCTACATCACTACACATAGAGATTGTTTTACAATAGAGTTATACACGTAAGAAAAATGTGCGAAATTATTTGCTTTTATAGCTGACTGCGAGAATTTTACACAAAGTCAATAATCACAGGAACTGCCAATGTTAGTTATGTATATTAACAAAATAGATGTGCCCCACATTATAAAACGCCCCGGGCCATTGCCCCCCACCCCCACCACTAAAATTAGTAATTCAAATCAAAATATAGTTCAGTCAATCAAATATAGGTAACGGTTGCCTTTATATGGCTTCTGCCGTCCCGGGCCATGGCCACATACGCACCTGCATTTTGAAAATCGAACATGTTGAGTAATATTTTAGTAAAAAGAGTTATTATTTACCTACAACCTAGATTTCTTTAGTATATTTAATGTAAGAAACATTATGAAAACGAGCTAAGAGATAAGAAATAAAACTGACAGCGCTAACTAGCACCGATTGTGTTACCCTGTTGAGCTAGACGGGCGTAACAAAGGAATGGATTGAAAAATATTACATGAAATACAGATTCTTCTTTTACGTAAGTAATTGTATCCGTGAATATAAAAATAAACTCCAAGATATATTAAAATAACTTGCATTCTTATATTAAAACCATTTTAAATCTAATGAACACATATAGACACTGACAGAGATTTTTATAGAAATTTAAGAAAATGTTTAAAAAAATCTTATTATTTATGAGATGAACAAACCTTGACAGAATATTTTCTGTTAAATAAAAATAATATGCCTTTACGTATGAAGAATCGTTCAGGTGCAATTAATAAAAGTTAAAGGACATTGCTCGTTCCCCATACATTGAATGCCCTAGAACGCACAGCAATGAGAAAATGCTAGTTGTGTTATTCATTAACTCTAATTAGGCATTTGTTGAGATACGGACAACTTGAGGAACCGTGGCCTACTACAGAATGTATTATGATTTGGAGGTTATAATTATTATACTTAATCGTAAAAGATGTACACTTTATATATTCTGAATAGATTTAGTGTTTACCTCTATGTAAGCACTTAAATAATATGCATTAAATGAACTTAAAATGCAATTAATAATAAAAATAATAAATGCTTATATTGATTTATGAGTGTTGGTAGTTGGCACCTATGATACCTATACCTTGTTGTAATAATAGATTTCTTTTCAAATGAAATGTTCAAAGTCTTTCCATTTACCTGTTTCTATATTTTACTATCGGTAATAAGGTAAGTATGTACCTGGTTATCATTATGATTTTCTTAAAAAAACAGTTATTATATGGGATTGGAGTATAAACTATCTTTACATAATTTCAGAAATAATCTTTTTATAAATATAATAGCAGCATTTTACCTGAAATAAAATGCATATTAAAATACTTACCTCACTGAAAGCTTTATATTGAGATAGCACTTCCGTTTCCCGTCGAATTACCATCAGTTTCCGTACTTTTATTCACCTTGTATCCGGTCCAGTGGCGACACCTGGCAGAAGCGCGGCCATTTTTGTTTTCCTAAGTTTTGACAGCGCCATATTAACTCATTGGCTCAATTATTTCACCAGGCAGAAATTAAAGTGAAAGCTTTCAGTGAGGTAAGTATTTTAATATGCATTTTATTTCAGGTAAAATGCTGCTATTAAACTACTTGACCGTCACTGAAAGCTTTATATTGAGACCTGTTTGTTATCGCCTGGTGATCGCCACGTACGTACATATATACGCCAATGTGACAATTTATGATAAATTTAAATATTAACATTTATCAGATTATATGAAACTGTATAAAGAAACGAGTAAGCTTAAAAATGAATCAAATACTATTATTTGAATCACGCCTTTAATTTCTTCAAGCTTCCGAAGCTGCTTTAACATATGTATTAGCTGATCGTTATATTCCTTTGCTTAAAACTCGTGTACATATATTTGCTTTGTTAATGACCGGACGCTTCCTTGTGTAGCATTCATTTGTATCTTTGTATATCACAAATAAGGCGTACGAACGCGAGAAAAAGATGTAAAGTTGTTCGATACTGAGTCTTACATTTACAAGACTGTACTGTTTACTTAAGTACCAAAAATCAGGTTCCCACTTACGATTACCATTATTCGGTACAAGTCACCAATCGGATTGTCTTTAACTACTTTCACCTGTTTTGAACCAAAACAAGGCTAAACTAATCTTCGTCGGTACAAATACAATGATTCGGGATAATTTGAAGTAGGAACAAGTCATGTGTACCACATGCTGAACCAAATAATACGCAGCATAATTACTGTATGACGTTCAGAACAACATATATGACGAAGTATTTGAAACAGATCATTATGATGTAACGAGTACATTATTGTAGAAAAGGAAATAAGTTAACTTATAGACACAGAATAGTAGGTTACGGACTGATTCTTTAAAAACAATCGACTTCAATATATGTGTTTGCCAAGACAGGTGAGCTTAGGTAATTAGACTTATCATCCATTAGTATATCATGTAAAAACTACCGACTTATTAATGGTAATAAAATAATGGTACTTATTTTAAGATAAGTTACGAGTTAAAAATAAGTCTCTCAAAAATCGTATTAGTTCAGAGCCGAGTCCACAACTTGCGGGATTATTCCGATAAACATTCTTGTGCCTAGACCAATGCAACCACATAAGCCAGCGTTTCCGAGCCATCTCATAGCTATTTAAGACAGAGCTGTCGCTCTTTGTAGAATATGTTGAAGAGCGTAGTGCTAGCATATCTATTTGATTGGAGTGAAGATTGAAGTTAAGTGGTAGAGCCGTGTTCTTCAACTATACTTCCCAAGCTTTCATATTTGATTGGCGGGAAGTGATTGCAAGGTCGATTGCAGTGAATTCATAATTATTGTTAGAAGTAGGGAGTGGTTGATACAACCCCACGGAATGACAAAAATGTTGAAACCGATCAACTTCTGAAGTTTACGTTTTTACAACGAAATTCTCTGGTATAGTTTTTATATTGTTGCTGGGTTGCCGTGATTAATTATGCTATTACGAAGTTCAGACCAGATTTTATGAAATTCATTTGCCATCCTGGTATCTATAATTTATTGTAATGTTTTTCAGTTCTTAGATCCGAGTCTAAATGACTCATGTATTACTTAATACTAAATAAAGATTTAGTTATTTATAAGATTTACACAGCTTACATGAGGTGTGCATGTACTATGCGTAGGGTTTGAAGTATATTTATTCCAGACAGTCGTGGTAAGGTTAGAAAGCGTAAGTTTAATATTAAGAACAGTTTTCAGTATTTTTTACTAAAATAACATAAAGTGGATAATTGCATACAATGATCTTCAAAACCTTTCAAGAATTTGGTAGATCTTTCTTCAGTACATAGCACCACTTATATATCAAAATAATTATGTTGGCCACCTCAGACACCACATACACGACATTTCTAATATTGCAAGTTTCTCTCATTACGCGATCAAAAGAGTGAGCAACCCATTTGGTTTACTTTTATTATTTTCAAGAGAAAATATGTTATCATCTATTTATCTGGCAGATAGTCCTTAAATTGCAGAAAACTTAGAATTCTTTACATATTTATAGTGTACTGCACTTGAGATTGGAGTTTGATATATATTGGATTTAGATAAACAAGCTTTTGAATGGCATGCGATACCATTAAATTTATTTAAGAATTATTTATGGACCTCCCAATTTATCAACTTACCTGCACTAATTTTTTTTTTTTTTCAAACATTAATTGTTTCGATATTCCTTTTTCTTTTGAAATGTATTATATACATATTACGGTAGAACAACCGTAGTGATCGAGTCAACACTTCACACCAATTAGCCTAGCCTTATAATGGGCATTGAAAGGCTTGTGTTATGGGCTAACGCCTAGAAATGCATAATGATGATGCATAGATTAGTATGATTTTGAATTCATATTTGTTAACAACCAAAACTTAGGCACAGATGCTCGTTTTTATCATACAATGATTTGCCCCACC